GCTGAAGTTTTGGATATTTCTATTGTTTACTTTGCAAATAATTATTGCTGTTATATGAGGTCAGGCATTGCTTTCTTGACCCCCAAATTTCAACGTCAACATTCTTGAAATAAGACATTAAAATATTACCATTTACGGACGTTGAAATAAATTTATTTACTTAATTATAGAAGAAACATGCATTAATTGTTGATAAAAGTGACTGACAACCACTGAACAAAGAAAATTCTAAATCAAGCATTTTCGGGGCCGTCCGGGTTTGGTGGTTGTCCGGTTTTGGTGGTCCCCAACCAGTAGGTATAGGTGTACTAATAAATAAAGTTTACTATTGGTTTTGCTTTTGAAACTGTTAAAATGTAATTGCCTTGGAAATATGAGAACACCAATTTACTTACAAGGCCGCAGATGGGTGTTAATTACAATGTTGTATACATAATTGCTTACATGCAAACATTAAATGGAATAAACTATGATGCAATTGACATGTCTATCCTACAATATTCACTGTGTTTTCTAGAATTTTATCCTCTGAACTTTTGTTGTCTGTGTTAAACAGTTAAGTACCACGGAAATATGAGGCACCAGTATACCGAATATGAATATTGCTTTCATAATATTTAAGGCTAAAAGTCATAAATTGACAGTATTTTTAACATAAACCATGATAAATATTTAGCATGTTAAAAAAAAGTATTTTGATAAGTTTCTTTTGTAAATTACAGCGACAAGAATTATTTTTGGTGAAAATTATTTTTAAGAATAGAATTTCCGTTTTAACAACTTTGAATGCGCAATTTCTATCAATAAAATTGACCATATGAGAAATAAATTACAATTTTACTGTTAAAAAATGACATAATATATTTGAAATATAAATTGAAAAACAAGATATATAGACTTACTGTAAAAATTACAGCCCGAATATGGAAGTGAATACCGAATATGAACATTACGTTTATAAAGGTTAGGTCAAGTAAAGCGACCACCACTATACAGTATATATGATACATAATTTACGTTATTTACTTTTGTATAGTTTTTTCGGTTTTATAGTATGTTTGTTATATGTTAATATAATTTTAGGAAAGAAATACATATTATAAAAGATGCAAGTGTTTTATTCTTTCATTTTGTCAGAAAAAATACGTATTATATATGATTGAAAATATGACTTGATTTAATTGTTTCCTTTATCACATACAAATGTCTTGACTTTTGTCGAGTCGTACATCATATAAGACGAAATATCGCTTGCGCTTTGGGGATATATGTTCCTATAATAACATATGCTGGTTGAATATTCCTTATTCCGTATTGTTTGTAATTTATCGTACGTTTTTATCTTCTAATGCAAGATAAACTACTTTTAACTTATTGACAAAATGAAAAAATAAAACATTTCCATCTATTTAAATATGTAATTCTTTCCTCTAATCATATTTGCATATAACAAACATACTATAAAACTGTAAAAAGGTAATTTGATATATATCATACATATGGATGGTCGCCATACGTTTCCGTAGGAAATAGTTCAATTCCTACTTATTAAGTTGACATTATCATATATGATAAAAATATTGTAAACTTCGATGTTGATTTTAAGCAATATAATATCATAATATACAAATACTTGTATATTAATTTGTTCAGATATACGGTAATGCGAGAACAAACTATATTGTCGAATATTATTTTCTATATTTAACCGATATTTATTGTTATTGTGAGTTATTGTTTTAATGAACATGAATCTCCATTTAAAAGTGTGTTTATTTTTTACAAAAGTTTATTTAAAATTATTTAATTCATCCTTCTACAATTGTGTCAATGGGTGTGAATGAAATGAATGAATGACATTATTTATTATATATATAAACAACAACAGTTTTATAATGAAAATTTGAACATGTATTTTATTAACTTTATTTCATCACATTTATATATATTTATACATATAACACAAAGTAATATGTTCAAGATGCTAGCTTTCGTTTAATAGGAGTAGGTAAGCATATCAGGTCATAGTTACATTATCGTTATTTTTATCTTTCGTGCAGAATACTTTATCACATACAAAATCACTATATACACTAAAAGTGATTAAAGAATGTACAGATATTGATAATTATAATCCAGTTTGATTGTTACTTGCAATAAAAATCATGAATATGAAATATGTGTTAGAAGTATTTATAAGTTATATAAAGAAACATAATGTCTTACTAACAATATATAAAGATATCATATTAGATCATTTTACATATTATAGAACTAACTGATATGTACATTTATTAACTTTGAAAAATTATGATGATGGTGGTGGTGATAATATAATGACGACAACGACGGTGATGTTGATGATTTTGATGATGGGGATGATACTTGTGTATGTGGTATTTGTGCTGCTGATGAAACAGATGACTAGACTAGAAACTCTCATTTTTATGATATTGGTGATAATATTGATGACGATAATTATCATTATAATAATTAAAGTGATGGTGGTGGTGATGATAATGTTGATGATGATTATTATTATAATTATTATGACATATGTGATGATAACGATGACAATGATTATAATTATTATTATTATGATTGTTTTATAACAAATGTGCTATTAATATGAAAGACTTACACTTTTAATACTAAAACGAACCTTTGACGGTCCCTATTATCAACAATAATTACAATGCTAAGAAATAATTATTTGACAAAACCAAATATTACGGTACGATGTAAAAGTAGGTTGTACGAATGTATTTTATAAGGATTATTTAAATACATAAAACAATTACAATATATAATACATATGTTATAAAGTTATTAACATGCTTGTAGAGTCAGTCAAATGACATTCACTTTTGTTCTGAGTGAGATGTTTTCAGCTTAATTTTATCTGCTAAAGTTCTCATTCAACGTTATCCAATAAGATACGTTTAGCACTAGTTGTTTGGGATTTCTTAATGTATTTAACCAGAGAGTTAGAGATACATGGAAACAGGATTTAAATGCTCGAATCAGTAATTCTTCCAGAGCACTATTTTACCACACTTTCAATGATTTCAGTTTTAGTAGATATTTAGATATAGTTGATATTAAAAAGTATAGAATAGCTATGTCACGTTTAAGAATGTCTTTTCATCGTCTAGAAATAGAGGTGGGTAGATGGAGAAAACCCCACAGTGTACCTTTAAATGATAGAGTCTGTGTAGCATGTAATCAGTTAGAGGACGAGTTCCATTTTGTCATTATATGTCCTATTTATCAGGAACTCCGAACAAGATTTTTAAAGAAATATTACTGGAGGTTTCGTAGCATGTTTAAATTTGTTCAGTTGGTTACAAGCGATAATGTACATGATATAAGAAATTTAGCTATGTTTATATATATGTTTAAAATTCATATTCGGTATATTCTTTCACGAATATGAATTACATATCTCTATAAGGTGCGATAACTTGCAATTAACCTAGCAAATATAAATTGTCATCCATGTACAATCAAGGTTTCTTTCTTTCAGACTTTTATTAGTGACCGAATAATTAACAATAGGGATAAAAAAAAGAAAAAAAAAGAAAAAAACAACAACCTCGTATTCACATATACATGTATATACATGTATATATACTGTACGTCGTTCTGGCCGTGGTGACTAAATAAAGCTGAATAAAGCAAATATTAACATAACATATATAATTTTAACTTTTAACTTTCTTTTCTATACTTTTAGAAGATTATAAACAATAGGCCTAATGTTCATCTTCGTTATTCTTGTTAATATTCGGATAGGCCTACCGTTCTGGTCACAATATTTATAACAAATTAAAGTCAGATATAAATTTATTTTCTTTCATTCAAAGACATGATACAAGTAAATGATATTCTCTATTCTCTGTGGACGAAAAATATCCAAAAACAGCTGTTTTTTATGAAAATAAAATTCATATTCGGTACTCCCGTTCATATTCGCGAACATGAAATCATATTCGCGAATATGAGTTCATATTCGGTATTTAGTCATACCGGTTTTGGATGCGATTGTGCAATACCCGGCGGCAGGAAATACCAAAATATGCCCAAATATTACACATATATAGACTTTGAGTAAAATTTGTCTAAACTAATTTATGAATCAAAAATACAAACTCTTCATGCAACGGTGCCATGTTTCTGCATTTTACTTGTCACGAGTGAAATCACATATTTTACGCCATTAGATAGTCATACAGAAATTAGTTTAGCCATATGTAACTTTAAATTTATTTGTGTGGTATATTTGGGCAATATTTGGGTATATTTGGGTATTTTGTGTCGCTCCCCATATACCTTCCATTCCCTTGTCAACTGCCAGCAACTTTTTAACAAAAACTCATTTATATGCAAAGAAACGTTTTAAAAAGACATTAAACCTAATACTGTATGAAAAGCGCGCCAAATAATAATACAACGTGACGTCATTTACGACGTCACGTCATTAAGTTGGTACCCAGTACTGTGCACGCTGGTATTTCACTGAAACATTGTAAGGGGCTTAAATTCAAAACAGTGAAATTATCAAAGTGGTAATTTCACTGTTTCAAACAGTGAAATTACCAGTTTTATATCACTGATATATTTCTATAAACCACCGAAAAGCATGTAATAAATAAGAAACAACTTAATATTGATTTTTGAAAATAAGTTTCCTGTTTTTGAGGCAGTTTTGTGTTAAGTTTGAGTGCACACAATTACTTTCATTACTAAATTTATAGTGCAACCATTTGACACAGCTTTATCGCTCAGTTGGCTTGTATATTGTTACTTTGTTTGTAAACTTGTGGTCACAAGTTCAAATCCCAGGCAAGGCAGGATTTTTTTCTGATGCAGTTGCATCTTTCTTTTACAAACTAAAATGTAAGATACGTAATGTTGACTTTTATTTAAGAGGAAGACACTTCACTTGAATTTAACTTCTGCTTTCTTTTCTTTACTACAAATTACAATATATTTTTCAGATAACCTGAAAAAGATTCCCATATACCAGTGTGGTTCTCGATGGCAACAAACAAAAGGATTTCACAACAGTTCTGCTCTATGGACTGTAGAAGAAACAGCAAATGAAGAATCAGTGGAAGATGATTTTCATACTATCATCAAAAATACAGAAAGATCTAAAGGTTCTTGCCAGTTTTCTTTTTTTTTTATCTCATAGGATACTGAAACAGTATTGTAAAATGTTGTTCTAGAAATTTTGTAAGCCCAAAATAGATATAGCCCTGCTAAAATTTCTAGCTACTGGAGAATCCATTGCCAGTCTCTTTCTGTCAATCAGTTAACCTATTGCCACCAGTTTAGACCAAGGTGCAGTCTTGCCAGGACTTTAAATGTTGGTAGTTCATTTTTTAAAATAAGTATGGAACACTTTTGAATATAGTCCACAGATTTAGTGTGTAGATTAGTCTCCATTACTGATTTTCAGATCAGTAAGTCAAGGTCGCTTTATATATAATTTATTGATTGTAAAGACCAGAGGCAAAGGAGAGGGTAACTTTAAACTTTTTATATCCGCTACATGGTCCTCAAGTTAGCACTGTCTGTTGATAGATTTATTTTTAGGCATGCTATTTTTGTATATATAATTCCTTATTTAGGTCCCTCAGATAAACTTGAGTTCCAGGCAGAGACTAGGAAACTGTTGGACATTGTTGCGAGATCACTGTACAGTGAAAAAGAGGTTTGTAAAATTTATTGTGTGAGGTAGCTTTTGAAATGTTGGTTGTTTTATTTAGGTGCCTATTTCGTCCACATGAAAAGGCATTGAGAAAGTTGCCATTTGATCATTTATTTGTAGATACAAAATGTCTTATGGAAAAGTATATATGTTGTATAGTATTTTGAAACAGTAGGAAGATTATTGCATGACTGTATCATTATTAGATAAACATGAAGTACTTAATTCCATGTGGCGATGTGGCCAAATGGTTAATACATCAGACAAGTAACTAGTAATCTAAGGATTGCTGACTGCGTGGATTCAAACCCTGCCAGGGGCAAGCTATTGTTTCCATGAGCAAGAAACTTTTACATTCATTGCTACTTGTTGGTTCCAGGAATGAATTTGAGAGTGTTTCAATATGCTTTAAGCTTCTAACACAATCAAACTAAAATAAATTTGTATAAACTAAATTCCATGTGGGCAAGCTTTCCAGCTAACTTATACTACTTTGGTGTCTGCTTGTGCCTTTGATTATGCAAGAAAGGGTAATTTTAGGTACTTCTACAATGAAAGTTGGCAAGTCTCCAAATGACCATTGTAATCATTAAACATAAACTAAATAGAGGATATTGAATTAGTGTAAGTTCAATACTGAATTTATTGCACAAGTTGAATAAAATTATATTATGTGAGCCTCTGGCGAGCATAATATTATTTTATTCAACGAGTTCAAGAAATTCAGTAATGAACTTACACAAATTTAATATTCTATTTATCACATACCTAAATTAAAGACCGTTTAAAGTAAAATAAGAGTCATTTTTTAATGACGCGCCTATAGTATAGCGCTAACATTTAGGGCGTCTTTACGCTATGTTTGTATAACGCTAATGACGTCAGGTCAAAATATATGCACGGCTGTGCAATACCATATTTACGGAGTCGCAAAATCGGCATGGGTGTGTGATAAAACATGTATGAATGTCAAAATCTTTTTGATCTCTTTTTTGCCTGTACGTGTAGTTGAAAATAAATTGCAGCATGTGTTAAAATTGATAATTTCAGGTGTTTATTAGAGAGCTGATATCCAACTCTAGCGATGCTCTTGAAAAACTTCGTTACAAACAAATGGCTGATGGTGACATAGAGGACAGTGACCTCCCCTTGGAAATTGATATTGCTGGTGATGAGACAAAGAAAACAATCACTATTCAGGTTTATCATTTATCAAAAGTTGTGAACATTAGATATTTTTAGCTCACCTGTCACAAAGTGACAGGGTGAGCTTTTGTGATCGCTTTTCGTCCGGCGTCCGTCCGTCCGTCCGTCCGGCGTCCGTCCGTCGTCCGTCCGTCCGTAAACTTTTGCTTTAAATGACATCTCCTCATAAACCACTGAGCCAATTTCATCCAAACTTCAGAGGAATGTTCCTTTGGTGGTCACCTTTAAAAATTGTTCAAAGAATTTAATTCCATGCAGAACTCTGGTTGCCATGGCAACCAAAAGAAAAAACTTTAAATATCTTCTTTTAAAAAACCATAAGAGCTAGAGCTTAGATATTTGGCATGAAACATCTTCTAGTGAGTGTCTACCAAGTTTGTTCAAATAAAAGCCCTGGGGTCAAAATTGGCCCCGCCCCTGGGGGTCATTGATTTTCCCTATATACATATAGAAAAACTTAAAAAATCTTCTTTTAAAGAACCGTAAGAGCTAGAGCTTAGATATTTGGCATGAAACATCTTCTAGTGAATGTCTACCAAGTTTGTTCAAATAAAAGCCCTGGGGTCATAATTGGCCCCGACCCAGGGGGTCATTGATTTTCCCTATATGCATATAGTAAAAACTTAAAAAATCTTCTTTTAAAGAACCCAAAGAGCTAGAGCTAAGATATTAAGCATGAAACATCTTCTAGTGAGTGTCTACCAAGTTTGTTCAAATTAAAGCCCTGGGGTCAAAATTGGCCCGCCCCGGGGGTCATTGATTTCCCTATATGCATATGGTAAAACTTAAAAAATCTTCTTTTAAAGAACCATAAGAGCTAGAGCTTAGATATTTGGCATGAAACATCTTCTAGTGAATGTCTACCAAGTTTGTTCAAAAAAAAGCCCTGGGGTCAAAATTGACCCCGCCCCAGGGGGTCATAGATTTTCCCTATATGCATATAGTAAAAACTTAAAAAATTTTCTTTTAAAGAACCCAAAGAGCTAGAGCTAAGATATTAAGCATGAAACATCTTCTAGTGAGTGTCTACCAAGTTTGTTCAAATTAAAGCCCTGGGTCAAAATTGGCCCCGCCCCGGGGGTCATTGATTTTCCCTATATGCATATGGTAAAAAACTTAAAAAATCTTCTTTTAAAGAACCATAAGAGCTAGAGCTTAGATATTTGGCATGAAACATCTTCTAGTGAATGTCTACCAAGTTTGTTCAAATAAAAGCCCTGGGGTCAAAATTGACCCTGCCCCAGGGGGTCATAGATTTTCCCTATATGCATATAGTAAAAACTTAAAAAATCTTCTTTTAAAGAACCCAAAGAGCTAGAGCTAAGATATTTAGCATGAAACATCTTCTAATAAGTGTCTACCAAGTTTGTTCAAATAAAAGCTCTAGGGTCAAAATTGGCCCCGCCCCAGGGGGTCATTAATTTTCCCTATATGCATATAGTAAAAACTTAAAAAATCAATAGCTAGAGTTTAGATATTAAGCATGAAACATCTTTAAGTAAATATCTACAAAGTTTGTTAACATAAACGCCCGGGGGTCAAAACTGGCCCTGCCCCAGGGGTGACATTGTTTTAAACTATATGTGTATAGTAAAAACTTTAAAAATCTTCTTTTAAAAAAGCCAATGAGCTAGAACTTAGATGTTTAGCATGAAACATCTTCTTGTGGGTGTGTACCAAGTCTGTTCAAATAAACAAATAAAAGCCCTTGGGTAAAAATTGGCCCGGGGGTGGGGGGCCTATATACAGGTGAGCGACCTCAGGGCCATCATGGCCCTCTTGTTTAGTATTGGTAGAGCATAAAGTCAATGCAATACGAGAACATTGACTAACCCCATAACCTGTGATTAAGGTAGCCTGTATCATCAGTATAGATACCGCAACATCATTATTATTCGTGAGGAACAAATTCTCGTGGTTTTCGTGGAAAGGTCAAGCCACGAATTTAAGATCCAAAGAAATTTCATTATTTCATTATTTACATTTTACTTTTTGCAAGAATAAAGTAAAGCAGTCAAGAAATTGAATAACCCACAAAATATTCTTTGTGACAAAACCACAAAATTTTGAGCTTGTCTATTTTGGAGAATAAATCGAGATATTATGATAGCTCATCTTGTCTTGCAAAACTAAAGTGTAGCCCTTTATTCAAATCTTTTAAAAGTTATTAACATGAAACTTGGATTTACCAAAAGCATAAACAGAAGCAGGTGCTTTGGTTTATCTAGCTAATTGAGCAGTTAAAAGATAATTTCGGCATTAATTAGGGCATTTATTAACAATACGGATAAAAATACAGAGGGCATTTATTAACAATACTGATAAAAATACAGAGGGCATTTATTAACAATACGGATAATGTTTTATTAGGAGTATATTGCAATTTAATGAAATCATGAAAACATGTATAAAGGTGAAACATGGATGAACAAATTTATTATTGTCCATATTTGTTATTTCATATTGATATATTGTCAATATGCTTTGCACTGACTGACAGCTGTTATTATTAAATTTGCCATTTCATAATTTAAGTTTCAGAATCAATTTTAAAAGATGTGTTACTGGGAAATGCTGATGAATGTCAGAAATTGTGTAATTGATGGTTAAGGGATCACTTGTGAAACATTTGTTACTGGGAAATATTTATGAATGTTAGAAGTTGTATAATGGAAGGTTAAGGGATCACTTGTAAAACATTTGTTACTGGGACAAATTTATGAATGTTAGAAGTTGTATAATGGAAGGTTAAGGAACAAATTCTCGTGGTTTTCGTGGAAAGGTCAAGCCACGAATTTAAGATCCAAAGAAATTTCATTATTTCATTATTTACATTTTACTTTTTGCAAGAATAAAGTAAAGCAGTCAAGAAATTGAATAACCCACAAAATATTCTTTGTGACAAAACCACAAAATTTTGAGCTTGTCTATTTTGGAGAATAAATCGAGATATTATGATAGCTCATCTTGTCTTGCAAAACTAAAGTGTAGCCCTTTATTCAAATCTTTTAAAAGTTATTAACATGAAACTTGGATTTACCAAAAGCATAAACAGAAGCAGGTGCTTTGGTTTATCTAGCTAATTGAGCAGTTAAAAGATAATTTCGGCATTAATTAGGGCATTTATTAACAATACGGATAAAAATACAGAGGGCATTTATTAACAATACTGATAAAAATACAGAGGGCATATTTAACAATACGGACAATGTTTTATTAGGAGTATACCACAATTTAATGAAATCATGGAAAAATGTATAAAGGTTAAACATGGATGTACAAATTTATTATTGTCCATATTTGTTATTTCATATTGATATATTGTCAATATGCTTTGGACTGAATGACAGCTGTTATTATTAAATTTGCTGTTTCGTAATTTAAGTTTGAGAATTAGTTTTAAAAGATGTGTTACTGTGAATTGCTGATGAATGTCAGAAATTGTGTAATTGATATGTGAAACATTTGTTACTGGGAAATATTTATGAATGTTAGAAGTTGTATAATGGAAGGTTAAGGGATCACTTGTGAAACATTTGTTACTGGGAAATATTTATGAATGTTAGAAGTTGTATAATGGAAGGTTAAGGGATCACTTGTGAAACATTTGTTACTGGGACAAATTAATGAATGTTAGAAGTTGTATAATGGAAGGTAAAGGGATCACTTGTAAAACATTTGTTACTGGGACAAATTAATGAATGTTAGAAGTTGTATAATGGAAGGTTAAGGGATCACTTGTGAAACATTTGTTACTGGGACAAATTAATGAATGTTAGAAGTTGTATAATGGAAGGTTAAGGGATCACTTGTAAACCATTTGTTACTGGGACAAATTAATGAATGTTAGAAGTTGTATAATGGAAGGTTAAGGGATCACTTGTGAAACCATTTGTTACTGGGACAAATTAATGAATGCTAGAAGTTGTATAATGGAAGGTTAAGGGATCACTTGTGAAACCATTTGTTACTGGAACAAATTAATGAATGTTAGAAGTTGTATAATGGAAGGTTAAGGGATCACTTGTGAAACATTTGTTACTGGGACAAATTAATGAATGTTAGAAGTTGTATAATGGAAGGTTAAGGGATCACTTGTGAAACATTTGTTACTGGGACAAATTAATGAATGTTAGAAGTTGTATAATGGAAGGTTAAGGGATCACTTGTGAAACATTTGTTACTGGGACAAATTAATGAATGTTAGAAGTTGTATAATGGAAGGTTAAGGGATCACTTGTGAAACATTTGTTACTGGGAAATATTTATGAATGTTAGAAGTTGTATAATGGAAGGTTAAGGGATCACTTGTGAAACATTTGTTACGGGGACAAATTAATGAATGTTAGAAGTTGTATAATGGAAGGTTAAGGGATCACTTGTGAAACATTTGTTACTGAGACAAATTTATGAATGTTAGAAGTTGTATAATGGAAGGTTAATGGGACAAATTTATGAATGTTAAACTTTTAATGTTTCAGGATACTGGTATTGGTATGACACGAGAAGAAATGGTAAAAAATCTGGGAACAATTGCTCATTCTGGATCTAAGGTATGTTGCTTAGTAACATAATATTGTGTAGAATTGCAGAGTACAGCTGTGTATTAGAATAGTTTAAGAGTTACAATGTATGTTTAACATGTAAATGATATTCTATTGAAAAGTTTACAGTAATAATTGTGCCATTGTTCAAACCATGGTATTTTGAGTAAAGTATATTGAGGGATGGTATGGTGCAGCTATTTGAGTTAATCTGATCAAGGGAGGTAATTGTCAACAAACATTGCATATTTAAGTTATATTAAACAGCCAGGGGAGGCAATCAAACCAAAACATTTTAAAGGGATGAAATTTGTTTCATGGATATTTTAAGAGCAGTAGTGTTCTTTTCCTGGCTTTACTCAATCATGGTCTTTTCCTGGCTTTACTCAATCATGGTATTTTCCTGGCTTTACTCAATCATGTTCTTTTCATGGCTTCATTCAATCATGGTCTTTTCCTGACTTTACTCAATCATGTTCTTTCCTGACTTTACTCAATCATGTTCTCTTCCTGGCTTGACTCAATCATGTTCTCTTCCTGACTTTACTCAATCATGTTCTCCTCATGACTTAACTCAATCATGTTCTTTCCTGGCTTTACTCAATCATGTTCTGTTCCTGACTTTACTCAATCATGTACTTTTCCTGACTTGATTCAGTTGTGTTCTTTTCCTGACTTTTTTCAATCATGTTTTTCCCCAGGCTTTACTCAGCGTGTTCTTTTTCTGAATTTACCCAATAAAGTTCTTTTCTTGACTTTACTCATTCTTGTTCTTTTCCAGGCCTTCTTAGACTCAATGAAGGACAGTTCTGATGCTAGCAAGAATATTATTGGCCAGTTTGGTGTAGGTTTTTACTCGTCATTCATGGTAGGAAATAAGGTTGATGTTTACAGTAAATCATGCATACCAGGGTCCCAGGCTTACAAATGGTCCTCTGATGGGTAAGTTTACCTTAAGTATTTTCCATTATTTGGTTTTACATAAACGAATTGGAGGAACAACTTAAGAAAACTAATGAATTATTTGTAATGTTATCATGTAATATTTCTTTTTAGCTCACCTGAGCTCAAATTGGTCAAATTTTGCTTTTTGAATGCATAATACATATTGTTTGTTTATTGTCCAAAATTTCTATTTCAAACATCATTTTTAAAACAACTTTTGTAGATTTTTACCAAACTTCCATTGGAGTGATCTTAAGATACTAACTATACACTAGTATAAAGAAGAATTATCTGTCCTGAGTAGGCTTCTCAAAAGAAGTGTCTTTTGGATCTTAGCTTCTTAATTATCCTCTCCCTAAATGATTCTAGAATACCTGTAATATTTCATGGTGTTACTCGCCAGGCATAACGAGAAAGAAAAGCCAGCAACAAACTTGTAACAATAACAAATTTATTACAGAAAAATTATTAAAGAAAAATAAAATAACAAATTATCTTTACAAATACCTGAAGTCCAAATAAAAATGAAAATTACAAATGTCTAGTCTGATCCTGGAATGATCCTTTTTCAATAGCACAGTTAAATCCAAGTTAAATCCAAGAACACTTTAGAATAAAATCCACAAGAATAATTAATAATCCAAGCTCCAATAAATTACTTAATTTCCAAGTTGAATAATACTCCAAATATATTGATGACTTAAAAGATTACTGATGACTAAAAAGGTAATGAAAAATGTCACTTTAATATATATTAATAAGAAACCCCAAA